AAAAAAACCTTGGAAACAGCCATATTTATGAAAAGGTGCTTGACCTATTGAAAAACAATATGAATGAAATTAGTGTTTAATTTTTAGTAATGACAATTTTTGTTGTCATAAAAACCTGCATTACAATGCAAAATAACAATTGTCTATACAAAATATTATGAAAACAAAAACTCTTGTACTTTTTTCATCATTATATTGTTTATATATTAAAAAAAAAAAAAAAAAAAAAAAACTTTAAACAGCACTTTTTCAATAGCATTTCAAGTTAAAGTGAGCTAAATAGACAGTCATGTTTGCCTGATGAGGTAGCCATAGCAACATCGCTCCAGAGCGTTGAGTATTTAAAGGTAATTGTCAAAGAATAAATAGCCAACTGTCATCAGTTAATTACAGATTTACACATTACCAATATTTCACAGAAACCTTCAGTCTTTAAAACCTTTAGTCTTTAAGAATTTGGCATTTCGCTAAAATTGCAGAGGCGCCATAAGACATTCTCACTGCACGAGACTAAGGTCAACCGATTATCTTCTCAAATACTGTAAAACTGTAAAATGTGTGTCTGCTAGACTGCCAAAATATGGTTTTGTCAACTTTTAAGAGTAGCTAGCATACAGGTGACCTCAAAGCTATCAAGCTTGGATTTTTGTGGGCTTTAGTTTACATGTTAGGGAGTAGTAATATTATAATAATATAGAGTAATATTCCATCTATCATTCCATTTGAATTCACAGTGTTGCTATTATGACATATCTTCAGTTAAAATATGGGAAATAAATACACTGATCAGCCACAAAATTAAATCCCCCCCCAAAAAAAAGAAAAAAGAAAAACTGCTCTGATGCAAAGCATGGTCTCACAAGACCTCTGAACGTGTTCTGTGGCTTCGTGGCACCAAGACATTAGCAGTTGATCCTTTAAGTCCTGCAAGTTGCGAGGTCAGGTCTATATGGATTATAATGCCTAAGTATGATATCAAGTCATTTATATATTCTTCAAAGTCTTACGGTTCTACAGTGTAAAAAAAAAATCCGTAAAATTTACGGTAAAACAAACGGCAGCTGTGATTGCCAGAATTTTACCCTAAAAAATACGGTAGCAACATTTTAGATTTTACAGATTTAACTTAAATTTACACTTAAAAACTATAATTTCATTAACTGATATATAATGTTAATATACCAACCTATTGAAGTACTGAAATCTGTTTTGTAACTTTGTTAACCGCCAAAAGCAGGTGGTGATGAGAAAGTCACATGATGAACCAAAGCCCATCACAAGCAGCTTTTAAATATTAACATATATAGAAGGTGCACAGTGTCATTCACACAAACACTAAACACCATCATGGTAACACACATGAAACTGAAATAATGCAATAAACTTTAGATGTAACATACAACCCTAATGTACACAACTGATAAGAAAAACGAAGTGATAACTGATAAAACAAACAAACATCAAATTTGAAATGTAATGCAGGGAATTCTGGTAATGTTAATTTACGGTTATTTACTGTAAACTATACGTTCTTTTTCCACTTCCAAAAACAGTATACTACCGTAAAATTACTGTAATGTCCAATACAGTTTTTCACTGCATAGGGGAATTTACCGTTAACCATAACAGGTTTTTACTGTAGCATTTTTACATTCTTTTACAGTTAAATTCATGGTCATTTTTACAGTGTAGCTAGTGGGTTAGATGACCTGTTGTATTTATGTATTGTTTACATTTTACAACTAAATTAGAAAATATAAGTATTCCTCTTAATAATAATGATGCCAGATACAATTGCCTAGTACATTTCACCTGGTATCCTCTTTCTAATTAACAGAGTTAAAAAAAATAGAAGAAGAAAAAGAAAAAGAATCAAAAGTTGTTAAAACTAGGTACTAAATGACAATTAAATGAATAATCCATTAGGTATGTAATTGCATTTTATTGAATAATAATTCAAGGTCAGTTAGTACACACTTAACAGCAATCTCTTTCTTTTTCATTCTTTTAATATATTAAGAGCATTGAGAATTGGCACAAACAATATATTAACATTGACTATTCTCTCACAGTTCAAATCTGTATATGCAATAATACCAATTTCCAACACATTACAGAAAATATAAAAGAAAAAATATGTTCAATTTGTCATGTCTCAATCAGTGTGGGCCTTGGTGAATAAAAAAAAAAAAGTTATTGTCATTTTTATTTATGCAAATAAGAAATACTGAACAAAGGGGGAAAAGAAGCGAAAAACAGTATGGAACAAAGAAAGAATGAGAAGCGAGACTGACTTGTCATTTTTGTGTGGGTTGGTGAACATCAACCACACTAGCATTTAATTAAAAGAAAAAAGATCTCAAATAAAGATTCTTTTTAAAAACTGAACTACTCAAGAGACCGAGACACAGAAAATGTCAAGTTGCCAATCAGCAACACTGAATTAAAGATCATGATGATAGTTAAGACAGCAATGTGTCATGACGACAGATCTGCATCATCGCATGTTATTTCTAAACCGTGTGTTCTACAGAAACATCTATCTGCTAATAACTACTAAATGTAAGACTGACATATGTTTTGCACTGTTAAAATGAACTGTTAAATGATAATCAGTCCTTCTCACACGCAACTGTCCACTTTTCTTTCCAAGGCCAAATAGCCTGTGACTCATGTTTATACAAAAAAGGCAGAGAGAAGACAGAAACTCGTGAATTAAAACATGACAAATATGCACACAAAAAAAACTGCACTTTTTACAAAAAAAAAAAAAAAAAAAAACCC